CATGTCTGAGCCCTGCACTGTCTGGCTCTCGCCCTGCTGTCTCCAGCCACGGGGCAGACAGGTCTCCTTCTCCTTCCCAGGGAGGCAGAGATCCCACCAGAGCACACAAGAGCAAGCTCCTTCCCAGGCAGCGACTGAGGAACCTGCTAAGAACGGCCAGGTAAAAGTCACCACTCTTATTTCTAATACTTTATGCAGAGACTTCAGATTCTTCATGGAATGGTAATTTTATTTTTTTTTAAATTTTTTTTTTGGTGGGGGAAAGAGGTTTGCTCTTGCAAGACTCAAGGGTTAATCGACAGTTCTTTTGACTGAGGAAAAATGCTTTTGTGTATCCAAGGCTTCAGCCTTTGTTTATAGTTACCTGAGGAAGTACCTGGACAGTAGAAGAAAAGATATTCCTTCTCTGTTATCACAGGGCTCAAAAGCAAGACTCCCCACATGTTTCAGGGGTTCAACCCACTTATCAGGCAGGTTAGGGGAAAATCTTTTTAAATGGCAAGTATTTCTGCAGTTTTCATTCACGATTCTTTGGAAGAGTTGGGATCCTGAGCCAGACTAACAGCTTGATCTGCTCCAGCAGAGCCTTTACTAGATTCCTCATGTGCAGGGACAGGCTGTGACCGCGTATGGCCTGTAGTGCTGAGGACAAGTTCACAGCAGGGAATTCATGCTGAGATGTGATAATTTGCTGTCTCTCTCTCTCTAATGTCTGCGGCTGCTTTCACATCCCCAGAATGAGGTTGCCTACACCACTTTGGTCTTCCGCCGGGCGCCGATGGCTGTGTGATGGTGAAGCTTCTGGTGAAATGAAGGCGCTTGCACTTCCTGCCCATCAAATGCTGCCAGAACATTTATACCAAGGCCCTCTAGTGCTCTGAGAAATGTATGTAACATCAGCTCATTCTATAGTTATACAGGGAAACTAACGTCTCCTGTTCCAAACCGCTTACCAACAGGTGTGGACAAACTTCTTTTTATACCGTAGTTGCTCATCTGTAGAAATCTTAGTGATTCCTTACCAATGCCCTTGTAAAGTTTCCATTTGTGTGTTTGCTATTGCTTTGAACTACCAAAGAGAACTGAAAAATGGAAATTTTTCTCTGTGTCTATTCATGTCTGTGCCCTTGTGTTTCCCTTTTCTGTCACTGAGGATGGTATTTTTCTTGGGTTTTATGATTGCCAAGTGCTCTGCTTGGTTATTTTCTGTCTATTGAAATTATGGTAATGAACTATTTGTATGGAAATGTCTGCTTCCTGATTGGGTCACGTAAAACAAATGCACAGTGTGGCTCTCAAAATTTGTGGAAATGTTCATTCATGTTTTATTACCCGTAGTGTTCTAAATACACTGTAAAAAGTTCAAAATCATCCTCTTTTCATAAAATGGGGAAAAGTTACCAATAGTGACTCAGTCTTAACAGCCACAGAGAAGCTGCTTTGCATGTTCCTGTGCTCTCAGATGGGAGATTTGTCATCCGAGGAAGTGCCGTCAGAGCGAGGTTTTCTGCTGCCTTGGCCCTCGGGGCTCCAGAAGCCACCTTGGTTTTGGTCACCAGGGAGATTCCAGCAGGTATTTTGCATTTCTGAAAACAGGGATGATTGTTTGTGTGCTGCTGTAAACGCCTCTCTGGGGGAATGTCTTGGGTAGGACAAGTGCCTCGCGTCCTACAGCCTCCCGTGAGCTGCAGCTGAAGACCCAAGTGTGACATCTGGGAGGCTTCAGAGGAGCAGGGTGGGATGTGCCTCCTGATGGCAGCACCAGGCCACGGGTGGGCAGCTGGACCCAGCTCAGCTCAGGCCTGGTGCCCTTGGTGTCTTTCCAACAAGCAGTTAGAGGAGCAGTGGCTCCACCTCTGCCAGCCCCTTGGGTTGTCCTGCCTCCCTGCCTGCAGAAGCTGGTGGGATTCAGGGGGAACCACTGAAAAGCAGGTGCACAGACACCATCATGGTCTGAAATCTGGCGTGGGAGGTGTTGTGGGTAAGGCTGACCCCTACAGGGTCAGGAATAGAATTTGTCATTTTTGTTTTGCATGTCTGCTCTCATCTCAGCCATAGCAGTTTCTTCAAGTGCTATTTAATAGAGAAAATATGCTATTACTCCTCAAAACATGCAGCTGCTGGGAGGTTCATGAGGGGTGATTGTAGTTGGTTCCCAATTCTTTTTTGGCTTAAAATTATAACAATGTTAGTCTGCTGCCTGACAGCAGCTGAGAAGTAAGAATGTCTGAAAATTTACCTGTTCTGCACAAATGTTAGTTCACCATCCCAACCAGAGCGCTGCCTTCCTGTGGTAGACCCGGTGTTAAAGTGTGGGAAGAGGTGATTCACCAGAGACCAGTTAGGGTGTTGGGTTTTTACTGTAGGTGTTTCCTCACCGTGAATTGGACTGAGACTTAGCACAACCATATAGACTTAGCATAACCATTTTGTTTCTTCGTGAAACATTGCAAACCAGAGTGCAGTGATTTGGTGTCCCTGCCTGCGGAGCTGAGCGTGGTACAGCCCTTGGGGACAGAGGGTGACAGAGACCCTTGGTGTGTTGTGTGCCTGCTAACGAGTCCCAGGCTTATCCCAGAGCATCTGTCTGTCCCTCCCTTTCCCATGCCAAGAGCTCTCCATAGTCACCCACAGCTTTTCATGGTAGTGTTGTAGACAGCTAGAGGAATTTGGAACAACGGGGTCTGCTAATCCCAACAGAGGAGGTGGTGTGAGGGCTGTTTTGCTCCTCTGCCTCTCCCTTTTCCCCTGTTTCAGTAGGTTTCTGCTAGAGGTGTTTGTACTTGTGCCCTCCCTAAAGACAGCCTTTCACAGCAGGAATTTGCAAGGCAAAATGCGTGGGTACAGGGAAATCCAGTAGGGATTGTCCAGCCCTGGGAGGGTGACTGGGAATGGCACGGGTGACGTGGTGCTTTGAAGGGTGCATGGGCAGCAGTGGCCTATGATATTCCCTGACATTTTGGGAGTGCCATCTGGTTGCACTGTTAAAGGGTGGATTATTGGAGCTACTGCATCTCCCCCAGCCAGCCCTGAGGCTTCCCTCTCCCCGAGTGGTATTTGTACACCCATGGGCTGCTGGTGTGTGCCTTCACCCCATCCCCACGTCTACCTTCAGCGTTATCCAGCCTGTGGGATCTCTCTCTGGGGCTGAACACCACGGCTGCTTCGAGTAAGTGCTGAAGGGGGAACCAGGGATGGAGACCCACACGAGCGTTTCCCAGCCAGCTCCACCTCAGGCAGAACCCAGTAGGTATTTCTCAAAAACCCATAGGCAAAGTCTGCAGTGCGTCATTCTGGGGAACAATTTACTGCTCTTTAGGTGGGGCCTGTTCTTCTGCTGAAAGCAATCAGTTCTATCAATTTATATCTCTACAGTCAGAGATCATGTAGCAAAATGCTGATATACTTATGCAGCCACTTCCTTTGCTGGCCTGTTGGTTAATTAGAGTTGAACTGTGTAACCGGGCAGAGCTTTGGCCTGTGATGGGGGTTACATCAGATAATGAACTGAGATGTCTGATCTCAGCTAAAGGAGCAGATGCCAACCCTTCCTGAGATAAGCAGCAGAATGATGCATTCCTTTTTCTGCTTTTTCTAGATCGCTCTTACTATTTAAACACGGAGCAAAAAGAGCCTGCCCTTTAATGACCTGTTTTCAGCGTGACCCATGTTCCCTTAAACCCAGGCTGTGTGAACTGTGCTCTAATATTCACTATTTCTGTGCCGTCCCAGTCAGGACACCCACCAAAACTGTGCAGATTTCACACAGGCTGCTTTTTTGATTGTCATGGGAGAAGAACTAACGCTGAACTAATGTAAAATCTATCTAACATTTATTATTATTCATGAAAATGTGACAACACCGAGTGCAGCACAAGCTGCCCAGACTCAAATTTATAGTCTAAATGGACAGAGAAGACAAAAGGTGTAAGAAGAGTCAGTGAGGAGATGCCTGGATTGCAAACTGTTGTATTATCAACACAAAGAACACATTTATCCTATTTTTCAGTAGACTCAACCAATCCTTAGGGAAAAAAATACTGGGCAAAATTTGTCTTAAGTATCTCTTCTGTATTTTGAAATGATTTAATACAGGCACATATTTACATCCACCTTTAGAGTAGTCCTCAGATCTGTAACAGGTTGCTACAGTTCTACAGGTTTACAAAGACTTGCAGCAAATTACATTTAAATCAGGTATTAGGAGAAGAGTCTGTGATTGCAGGGAGAATTACACGTGGGAATATGCTGTGCAGGAAGAACTTCCAAAAAGTGTGATTTCTAGTAAATAATTAGGAAAATGCATCCTCGATGGTTTAGAGACAGTTGATTCTGTCCTTGGTTAAGGAGCCAGGGAAGGAGGAAAGGACTTCAACATATCATTAGTTTATTTTCTGACGGTCTCTATTTTTTGGCTGGTGAGCTCTCCTGGCCCCAGCATATCTCCTTGGTGAATAGTCCGTGTGTTCAGCAGTTGGGCTCTTGCCTGGTGCTCGACATCTGAGGTCAACTTTGCAGCTTTCTGGGGTGAGCATTGTCTTGGTTTAAAAGCATTGAAAGTCTCTCACGGGCAGGGTCTCTCCCAAAGAAGAGGAGGGTCCCCAAAGTCAGTGCAGGTTCTGGCTTTTCAGCTGAGGTGACCAGCAGCAGATGAGGGCCCTTTCCCAGAGCAGATCATCCAAGGGAGGAGGTGTCACAGGAGATGCTATAGTTTTATTGGATAAGTGCTACTGACACACACACACAAAAAAAAATCAAGGCAAGTCCAGCTGTGTGTAAGCAAAGGGCCCATAGCTGGGCAAAAAGAGAAATCAAAACTATAAAAAAAAGAGTTACAGCCTTAGTTAGAACTAGAAATGAACAAGCAGTGGCTTTCACAGCAGTCCATGGATTGAGCTGGGGAACAAGGAGCAAAAAGTCCACCTTGTTAACAGTGCTTTGGGTCGCTGGTATGCCTAATAACACCCAAACCAGGAAATAGCAACTGGAAGAGCCTTTTAAATGAAGATGTTTGCCTGGAAAATCTGGCCTTGGTACAGCAAGCCCCCAGCAGAATTCCCTGGGGTACAATAATGCAGAAGATCATAAACGACCCTTTTGAGCTTGATGTCAAATGTGCATCAGATTAAGAGGAGCTTGCCCTTATCATAAAACAGTTTGTGCAAGAGTGGGAGTAGATAAAACAGATCACACACTTTCCCATGAGTTTCTTACTAAAACAAAGTGATTTAGCAATGGTCTGGTGTGTACGGGCGGGTCAACATTCATCCTTCATTTATGACTGTTGGTCTGTTGTTTGCTCTGTAAGAACTGGATCTGGTTTTTGGCACAGGATATAGGTCCTTAAAATTAAAAGGTAGGTGGTTTTGAACTTCTTTATCTTGCAAGCATAGACAATGGGGTTCATGGCAGAATTGGCATGGGATAACAGGATTCCCAAGTATATCAAAGGCTTTGGAATCTGCCACTTAGGGTAAAAGTAGAAAAGTAAGTTCATAATGCACAGAGGCAACCAGGATATTGCAAACAGGAAGAGAACAAGCGCTAGGGATTTGGCTGTCCTGAACTCCTGTCCATAAAAACCTCCTGCCCCTCTCGCGTTGGTCGTACCTTGAGTTAGCTTTGTCCGGATGATGCAAAAGATTTCTGTGTACAGCACACACATGATGAGCAGAGGAACGAGGGTCCATATGAAGAAGCCAAAATAAACCATGTAATCCATCCTCATCACAGAGGTAAATCGACAGCTGAGAAAGTCAATGTTTCTTGGTTTTGTCGTGTTCCAGCCAAACATGGGGACTAATCCTACCAGCAGGGACAAAGACCAGCACAAACCCAGCGCCCACCAAACTCTTCTCTCTCTAGTGATTATTTTGTATCTGTTGGGGAAGAAAACCCAGGTTGTGTCAAACAGTTTTTTTAAATAGTTAAAGATGGTTTCAAGAACTCGCACGTTCAAATACTACAGGCTCATTGTCACAAAATGGAGCGTTAGCTTTTTTGGGGGGGGCGGCAGGGAGGGACGACAAAATCTTATTTTGAGACATGCCCTAACTCTTCATTTGTAAGTTACTTGCAGCACCCCTATAAAGCAATATGCTTAAGTTCCTCTCTTTATAATTGGATGTTTTCAGCTACTTCATTTCTTGTTTCAGTATGATCTCAGTGCTCCTCTTGCCTAGGTACTGCTCCCCTACTATTAGCAGTCCTGTCTGGTTTCTCAGCTTCCCTGGGTGCACTTTTATATTTGGTTTATGCCATTTGTAGGACCAAACTGTTCTTTCTTCAATTTTATATGTCCTTTTCCCATAAAAAAATACGACTACCTTCATACCTGAGGTTATGCTTTGGATTTCTAGCTTATGTACTTTTTACATTCAAATATAAAAAGTGAACAACTTCTTAAGTTTGCCCCTAATAAGCCTGTTACTTCTTTTGTGTTTTTGGCAAAGACTAAAAGGACTTCTATCTAAAAGACTAGCCTCGGAAACCCAAAGAGATCTCTAGTACTCCGCGTCCTGCGTGGTTAACAAACGTCTGAAGAATTCAACTATTTGACCACAGGCTCATCCTGTGTGAGACCCTGCTCAGCGATGACACCGAGCTCCAGGCCCCCCATGAAGACCCCGGGGGTCCCTCCGTGCTGCGTTAGGAACCACAGGGAGCAGGTCCTGCTCTAGAAAGCTCATCTTGGGTAGGCTTTTAGGCACAGGTATTTTCTCCATGCACAAACATGCATTTGGAGTAAATATTTGTTAGGAAAGGTCCAAGTTAAGGAGGAGAGAGGAGGTGGCACCCGTGGGGTGGAGGCTGGGCACGCGGAGGGGCCATGGTGGCCCAACACTCACCTGGTTGGCACCTTCACTCGCAGGTACCGGTCGATGGCGATGGCCAGGAGGGAGAGGATGGAGGCGTTGGTGAAAACCACGATGAGGCAGCATATAAAGAGGCAGATGTAGTAGTGGAGGCTGATGCCCAGACTCACCACGATGGCCAGGGGTATGACGAGGACCCCCACCGCGATATCAGCCAGCGCCAGGGAAACGATGAAGTACAGAGTCGTGTTCTGAAATGTCATGTTCAGCTTCACCACCCAGATGACCAAGATGTTACCCAAAGTGGCGAACAAAGCTACCAAGCACTCGGTACCGATGTAAATCCCGTCCAGGCTGCTCAGAGCCAGGCTCTCGTTGGCCATGGCCAGTTGCTGGAGACGCTCCCACCTCAATTTGAGCTCCAGATGAGACCATGGGCACCAATGATGACTCCGTGTGGGATTCGTCCTCTGGTGCTCAGTGGTTCCAGTGACTTTGGGGCGTGCAAATCTCTTCCAGTGTCTCACGTCCTTGATGCTCGGGCAGCAAATCAGCAGTTCCTTTTCCACAGAGCTGCAAATGCCTCAGCATCCAGGAAACCTTCCCCTCTCCGACCCATCTCCTGAAGCTCACAGCGTTCCTTCAACAGCCTGGTGTCAGTAAAGCACTAGGGAAAGCTATTTTGAAGGAAGAGAAGGGAAAAACTTCCACCAGCCTGCTCATCAGAAACCTATAAGCAAATACTTCAACTACTTCCTCTTCCAGACCACAGTGTTAGAAGTGGGAGAACTGTAACCAGCACTGGTCGTGCAAAGCTGCCACTTATCAAGATAGAGAATCACTTTGCAGTCACTATAGGAAATGAGACAGCTCAGGGGGCGTCAGAAGAAGGCTTCATTAAATTCCAATACTTGACTTAATTCTGGGCATACTGTTTCAGTGAAGGCCCTGAGGTGGCCGAAGAGTGCTCTTTAGTTGTAATGCAGTTGATGTTTTCAGTGAGAGCCCTCGTTTCTGCTGGAAACCAGCGTGACAACCAGCCACGTTGTGTTCAGAGAGTGGCACACACTGTCCTGTGTGTGGTTTAGGGAAGAGGGAGAAACCAAGGAAAGGTGTGAAGTAGAGGGGAGAGGGTGTGAAATCTGTGACCCCTTTGCTGTGGGTGAGCCCGGCAGCGTGTGGTGTCTCCTCCTTGACGTGTCTGCAGTGAAAGAGCCGCTCCTGTTTCAGATAAAACTGGGGAGAAATGTAAACCTGTGAGCTCTTGTCAGCCTGTGGCTCGCAGGGGGACCTGGCCCTTGGGCAAATAGAAATGCATGTGCTCCAGGAACGAGGAAATAGCAATTAAGTGGTCAAATGGATGGTGCCGTGTCAGAGTAACGAAGCCTTGAGCAAATGTGGGTAATATTCTGTGTCCCAGACACTGAGTCCTCCAGCTCTTCCACCCAACCTTCTGGCAAAACTGAGGAAGCGAAATCAGCCCTGGGAGGAGACAGAGCTGGAAATGAACGAGACTTCTTTATTTTCTGCTCTCAAAAGAGTTGGACAAATTCCTCTTCCTTGAAATCAACGGTTTAAAGAAGCTCTGAGATGGAGCAACCTCCCTGCCCTAGAGCTGTGCATCGGGTAATTTGCCCACGGAGCAGCCAGGGGGGAGATGGTGCATTTGTGGCTAAAACAGACCAGCAAAATTACCACATGCAACAGGTGGTTTGTTCAGTGAGATGCTGCTACTATATAACATTGACTCTTGTAGAAAAGGGTACAAAAATGTGCTGAAACCTCAAGGAGGCAGAAAGGGAGTTGTCAGAGGGTTTGTTATAGAAGATCTGATAAATAGATCTTCGTGACCAATTTGGTCTGCTCACCTTTAAAGAGGGTGTTGTGTGTGCAGGTTGGAAAGGGTGGCCGAATTCTGAATGAGGGGCTAAATTTAAGCAGATTGGGGAGGAGCTGGCTTCTGATCCAGCTGGTGGAGTTAAAAAAAGAATTCTGCACAGCATTTCATAGTTTTGGACGTAAAGAGCCTCAGATGTCCAAAATGTCAGTAGGCAGCCTGGATGTGATCTGTGTCATGATGGAGCCTGTCATTGGGATACTTGCAGTGGTGGGCAATGCCTTGGTGATGTGGGCAGTGAAGCTGAACCCAGCTCTTCAGAAGACCACCTTCTTGTACGTCATTTCCCTGGCACTCACTGACATTGCCATGGGGATCCATGTCATGCTGCTGGCCATCGTGGTGAATCTGGGAGTCCTCATCCATTTCTACCCCTGCCTCTTCATCTGCTGCCTGATGATGACCTTTTCCCATGCCTCCACCCTGGCTCTCCTGGCCATCGCAGTCAACAGGTACCTGTGAGTGAAGCCTCCAACCCGGTGAGTCTGGGCAAAGGTCCCATTTTATCATCTTTTCACCATTTCTGTCCTCCCTTATATTTTCCTTCTGCCTTATTTGCAGCATCACAGGGCTCCCTGGGCATCGCTGGGTCTCTGAGAGAAACTCACACAAAGGAGAGGTTCCCAAAGTGTAGGCAATGGAGCAACGGGAGTCTGGGAACTCCTGGAAATTCAGCAATGCCTGAAAATCTCAGGGAGTCAGGGAAGGGTTGCTCATGAGTATGTAGGTGCTTAAAGTCTGGATAAGGTGGTGGTGTTGTTTAGGTTTTCCCTGAGGGACAACCATATGAGTCACAACAAAACAGTATTTCTGAGGAAAGGGTTTGACTCTGTGTCCGTGGGTTCTCATTGAAAAGGGATTGGTGACTGTTTGGAGGTTTTCCTGTAGTTTCAAAATACATTTTAAATATGAGAAGCTGCTAAGGACCAAGTGCAGAGAACCCTGCTTAACTTGAATTAGAGCGATCAGAAATGAGTGCTTAAAAGCACAAATTCCTGAATATTGTTGTTCTTTTTTCTGAAGAATCACATCTAACATAGCTGGTGCTCCCTGCCCACCCAGGTACAGGGCAGTCCTCACCAAGAAAAGGATTTGTGTGGTCCTGGGGCTCTGCTGGCTCCTGTCTGTGCTGGTGGGGCTGGTCCAGCACACGGACCATGAAGGTCACATTCAAGAGAAATTAGGAAGTTTGCTGGGGAGCTCTCTGTCTCTCTCTTGATGGCGATGGTCCTGAGAACTCCTTGCCCAGGTGCCAGAGCCCTGAGCCCTTCCCGTCCCCCTGAAGCCCCAGTGCTCACAGGGTCCCACATGGGCTGTCCCTGCGGGGAGGGATCCGCTTCCTGCGATGGAATGGGCTGGGGATAATTCTTGTGTATTTTATATAGGTATTGGGGCCAATAATGGTTCTTTAGAATCATTAACATTAATTATTCAGTCTTATTCTATTAAATTTGTTTAATAGACAGGCTGAGGGAGCTGGGATTGTTCAGCCTGGAGAAGAGGAGGCTCCGGGGAGACCTTATAGCGGCCTTTCAATATCTGAAGGGTGCCTATAGAAGAGCTGGGGAGGGACTCTTTGCCAGGAAGGGTAATGATAGGACAAGGGGAAACGGTTTTAAATTGGAAGAAAAAAGATTCAGATTAGATCTCAGGAAGAAATTTTTTACTCTGAGGGTGGTGAGACACTGGAACAGGTTGCCCAGGGAAGCTGTGGCTGCCCCATCCCTGGAGGGGTTCAAGGCCAGGCTTGATGTGGTCTGGTGGGAGGTGTCCCTGCCCAGGGCAGGGGGGTTGGAACTAGATGATCTTTGAGGTTCCTTCCAACCCAAACCATTCTGTGATTCTATGATATTTCAACCCTTGAGTTTACTTGTTTTTTCCCGATTCCCCACCCCGGCTGGGGACGGGTCATCGGCTGAGAGAACAATTGTCTAAAAAACAATAAATTTTGGGTTCCTCACTCCGTACCCCGAGCATCTCTGCCCCGTGGGGGGGTCTGGGGGGGGGGTGGCTGCGCCCGGCGGTCACCGGGAGGTGGCGGCGCTTCCCCGCGGCTCCGGCTCCGCGCAAGGAGCGATTCCGTGAGATGCTCCGGCAAATCCCCGCAGCACCGATGGCCCTGAAAACGCTGAGGTTCCGCGGGAGGGAACGAGAAACCGTCACGTTTCTGGTGGCACAAAGGGCAGCGATGGAAAATGCAGCCAAGGGACCCCCCGTCGGGGGGCGGAGGGAGGATGCCCAGAGACCCCGGAGGGTGCTTCACTAAAATAGAGCAGCAGCACCCGCTTGTGGAAAGGTGTTTTGGAACAGAAGGGAACGGAGCAGCCTCTGCACGAGGTTTTGTTTGCACCAGCCCATAAAATGTATAGTGTTTTATCACCTTATCTTAGAATCATAGAATCATTGAGGTTGGAAGAGACCCTTGGGATCATCGAGTCCAACCATCTCCCCTACTCTACAAAGTCCTCCCCTACACCATGTCCCTCAGCACTGCATCTAAACGGCCCTTAAACACAGCCAGGGATGGGGACTCCACCCCCTCCCTGGGCAGCCTGTTCCAATGCCCGACCACTCTTTGGGTGAAAAATTCTTTCCTAATGTTCAATCTAAACCTCCCCTGTTGGAGCTTGAAGCCGTTCCCTCTTGTTCTGTCACTCTTAGAAGGCAGGTGCTTTCCCACGGGGACACTGCCCCTGCCCAAAAGCTGCCCCCAGCACGGCTGGTCCTGCCAGGGCACAGGCTGGTGGGTTTTCTTTTTGTCTGTCCTTTTGAGCAGCAGGAGGGGAGATGGGTTCAGAAAAGCACCTCTTCTTCAGCAAACCCGTGTCCCTGTGCCTGCGTCGGTGTGTGACCGGGGCTGGAAACCTGCCGCCGAGCAGAGGGAAGCCCACCTTTCCTGGGCTGCAGGTGAAGTGAGAAGTGCTTCATCAGCTCATTCCATCACCCTCAGGCTCCAAGGGGCTGCTGTGTGAGAGGAGGGGACCACCTCCTTGTCCCCAGGTATGGAACTAACCCCTGCTCCTGCTGCCCCAGCTCCCCGTGCTCCTAAGGAGAAATAAAAGACCAGGGACTCCCCGTGCTCCTAAGGAGAAATAAAAGACCCTCTGGTGCAGCCAGGGATGATGCCATCACACCCAGCTGAGCTGCACCTGCCCTGGCTGGGGCCAAACTGGGGTGCTTCCGCCCTGTACCCCCTGTTCCCACCGGGTTCCTGCCGGGGGAAAGCACAAGGTGCACTTCTTTTCTTCAGATGTTTCCTCCGCCAGGCAGCATCTGTTTCCTGCCCTAAATATGAGAGAACTGGGTTGCTGGGCTGCTGCCACTCCTCTCTCACTGACGGAGGACGAGCCTGTGCCCTCCTGCTGTCTCTGCCCCACATGAGCGTGGCTTCACCCCCAGCCTGGGATGCCCTGGGGGGCTGTGGGTGCTGTATCCTCCTCATGCCCCCCCATCCTCCTTCCATGGGCACTTGGCTCCTCTCCCACTGCCCTCCTTCAGCCCCAGCATCAGGAAACACTGGGCTGGAGGTTTTTATGGCTTGCAAAGTGATGAAACATTCCCTCCACAGAGGAGCCAAATGGGGCCGGAGCGTGGGATCGGGGAGGGTCTTGGCGTGGACGCCAGCTCTGCCCTCCCCTCCTCGTTTTTTTGCTCACAGCATCCAGCCCCCAGCCCAAGGGCTCCCTCTGCTACTTCTCTACCAAATAATTCCCCTGTGAGCACGTGCTGTGCCCCCGCCGAG